CTGCAGCACGAGGACTTTATGATTGTTTATGAGTGTCAAAAGTGGCTGATCTGTTCTGCGAAATTTCCAAGTGGTGCTCGCTGCAGAGCCATTTGGGCAGAACTGAGCTCCAGCGAGGGGAAGCTTGAGCTCTCGCTCCTCCTTTCTTGCACTTCTTCTACGAGTGATGTCACTGGGGGTAGGGTTAGGGGTGGGGTTGGTGTACGCATTAAAACAGCTTATAGGAGGATGAGCGAGAGCTCATGCTCCCCCTCGCTGGAGCTCAGCTCTGCTCAAATGGCTCTGCAGCGAGCACAGTCTCGAAATTTCTGACTGTGTGTCACCGCATCCCTAACGACTAAAGCGATATAACTCGAGAAATCTCCCCTGTGCTGAGCGAGAGCGCCTACTGAACAGCGCAGAATCGATGACGTAAGCGTTTCCAGGCTTGATTGTAATGTAAGTGCTCACCGTCGAGGGAGACGGGAGGGGGGACAAGCGTGCTTAGGCCCAGTTCGAGGTAACTGTACATAGTGTGAGTACGCCCTATAGCCTAAAAAACAGGTCATCAGTATATTGTAAACTGCTAGGTTCAAATATTCCTTTCCAGTTATCAAAGAAATAATTTGTTCCTTGATTATAGTTTTGTAACTATTCAATTGTTTTAAATTCAAAAGTGTAATCTATACATCAGTGTAAAACTTATGACTAGTGGAAAAACATATTTCTGCTTTTCTGTCTCTAATTGTGTACCTGGGTCTCTACTTTTGTCACGGCCTCTTTTGGCTTTAACAAACTTATCACTCTGGTTTTTCCAAATCTTTTAGCAAAAACTTAACTCCTTTCCCATGGCTATTCCAATTTCTAGCCAAGAATTATTGATCATCTGTTTATCTTTCTGGTCACAAATCATAAAGATGTCTGTACAGGTGTACCAGTTTTGGACAAAATTTCCTCAAAGTGTTTCATATCTAACTCAAATCAAACGTGGTGCTCGCTCGAGTTTCAAAAAAACCATCTGCTCCATCAGCCGAAATCATGTCACGTGCACCCAAAGCGAACCTCCGCAAACACATCGATGATGCCATGTTCGCCGCGCATACTCAAGTGAACTAGCGGACATGTTGAGTGTAAACCAGGCTTAAGCAGTGAAGCATGTTGGTACTGTCATGACATGGGCATGTATGGCTGTTTATGCAACTGGTTCTTTGATTTATTGATGATGTGACTGCTGACAAAGGCAGCAAAATGAATTCTGAAGTGTTTCAGGCAATATTTTCTGCTCACATTCAGTCAAATACTTCAGAACTCATTGGACATTGCTTCACAGTATAGATGGAGAATGACCCAAAGCATAGTGCAAAAGCAACCAAAAGGTTTTTGAAGGGAAAGAAGTGGAATGTTATGCAATGTAAAAATGCAGTGGCCAAATGGCCAAAGTCAATCATCTGACTAGTATCCAATTGAGCTTGCATTTTACTTGCTGAAGACAAAACTAAAGGAAAAAGGCCCCGAAAGCGAGCAGGAAATGAAAACAGTTGCTGTAAAGGCCTGGCAGCGCAACACTAGGAATGAAACCTAACATCTGGTGATGTCTATGCATTTCAGACATCCGGCTGTAATTGACTACAAATGATGTGCAACCAAGTATTAAAAAGTAAAAGTTTTATTTATGATTATTATTCTGTCCAATTACTTTTGGACCCTTAACAAGTAGGAGGCACACTGTTACATATAATATAGTGTTCACTTGATTTGAATGTAAATACCCTCAAATTAAAGCTGACAGTCTGTAGTTAAAGCACATCTTGTCCGTTTCATATCAAATCCATTGTGTTAGTGTCTAAAGCTAAAAGCATTAGAATTGTCTCAATAGATTACCGGCAATTTTCTGGAAAGGTTGTATGTGTGAACAGGTTCTTTTTGAAAATACCGGTAAATTCGTTCTGGCTATTTTCCGGAAAGAGAAGTTGTAACATTACCGGCAATATGCCGGAATGCTGTGCTGTGTGAATGCAGAAGGAAGATTGCCGTAATAAGCGCGTGCACGTCTAGAACGTGCTGACGTGAGACGTCTGCTTTAGCCAATCACAACAGTCAGACGCGTTTACGTCCGTGCGGTTTGTGAGAATAAAAGCCTTTGAATATTTTTCCAGACACATTTAGCTGCTAGAAGTTAGTCAGATCACATTTATATGTTCTTCTTAATGCCAACTGTGTAAATAATCATCGATGAGATGCTTATGATAAGCCGTTGTTTGTTTACCTTCAAGCTTTGCGTGTGCCTGTGAAACAGCCCGTGAGCGCCTGCACACGCACATATAATGAACATCTCGACATGCGAAAGTGATCCTGCGAAAGTTGTTCACAATATTGATCATCCACAGAGTTTGTAATTTAGTAAAATGTTTACAAATAGAAGCGCAGTGTTTAAAGCTCATTTTTGGTGAATGATGTCAGAATTTACCGGTATTTTGGAATGGATGTGTGAATGCTCTTATCGGAAAATTTCCGTAACGTCCTCGCCTGTGTGAACAGCGCTTTTTTGAATATACCGGTAAAGTCGTTCCGGAAATTTTCCAGATATTTACTGGTATCACTGTGTGAAAGGAGCTATATATATATATATGTCCTATATATATAAGTAATCAACTAAAAAAACGTGTTTTAGGGTTTCATGACCCTTTAAAAATCAGCTTAATTCACATTTAATTCAAACCTTTAATTTCAGTTTTTCTTTTTTTCTAGCTCAGCAATTTCTGGTGGACCAAATCAAATCAAAAGTTACCATGGGCCATCTTTGGCTCGCAGCCCCCAGTTTTGGCATCTCAGCTCTAGCACTTACCAAGGCTGTGTTTATGTAATCAATAAATGCCGAAACACAGCAATACTGTGGGACATTAATACAATTGAACATGGCTGTTTGGTATTTTATTATTTCATTAAAATAATGATATATGTCTGTGATTAAGAGCTGCATTGTTAATTGTCATTAATCCAGCCTTTAGTGTCCCATGACCTTTCTGAAATCATTCTAATATGGTGATTTGGTGCTCAAGAAACATTACTTATTATAATTTCTAATTATAATGAATGCTGAAACATTAAAAAGACTGAATGAAATATATTTCTTCACCATATACAATCTTACTGACCTCAAACTTTTGAATAGTAATTTAGTTATAATCGTATATATTCTCTGATGAAAGTGCTTAAAATGACGTTACCTTATTTCAGCTATTTGTTTCTCAATTAATTCTATTTGCGCTTTCAGTTGTTCTTTTTCCTCGCCTTCCGCTCTACACAGTTTGTTGCTGAGATATTCCATCCTAAGAAAACACAGATCATGTCAAGCTTTTCACACATATTTAAATGCACACAAAAAATCTTGTATTTCTAAAAGCCAAGCTAACAAAACTAAAACTGAAGAAACAGGGGTGTGTTTCTCAAAATACACAAGTTCCATTGTTACCAATGTAGTTCAACAATTTAGTGTTTCCTCCTTAGTTGACGCTCCATAACTGAACATTGATGACATTTATTATTTACAGCAACAATCTGACGTTAGTTTAATCTTTTATGTTTTAATTACCAGAATTAGAATTTGCTCGTGTAATGGAAACATTAAATATTGATGATCGTTTATCGATGATTGACAATTATATATTGATATTTTAAATTGATTAAGGTTTTGCTCACAGAGGCTATCTGTGTAAAACTGATCCGGTGAATTAAATCAATTAAAAGACAAACTTTGTCAGACTTTATTTAATTTCAGTCTTCAGATTAAAATGTATTCCTTGTGAACAGGAAGAAAATAATTGCCATTACACTCCACCATCTACTTTACATCACTAACTACAGTTCCTGGGGTTTGGTCTTCATGTGTGGGCTACTCAGTTAACTGGATTAAAATTATTGACAATTTGACATGGTCCAGGATAGTTGTATTCTTCAAAACTAATATAAGAGTTGTTGTCATAGCAACAGGGAGCAAGATTATTTCATATAACAGGATTAGATTGAGGGTGACGCAGTGGTGCAGTAGGTAGTGCTGTCGACTCACAGCCTGAGGTTTATAGTTTTTTTTTAGAAGGTACTCCTAAAACCCATGGTTTAAAAAAAATAACTGCAGTTTAGAAAATTTAATTTGTTAAATGATATATCATTCTACGGTACATAGGCATGGGATGATGACCGTTTTTGAGGTATCCAGCGTTTTGGAAAAGTCAGACATTTTCTTTCTATTTCCTATTTCTATTTTCTTCCCATTCCCAAGGTATGTGTAAGATTTTTAAATTTACATGTTTACATTTTTATTTTTTTCTTCATTTTTTAGGACAACAATATCTCCAGTTGAAAAGATATCTAAAGATGCCATTTTAAATTGTAAATATATCTGTGTTTTAGAAACTAATAAAGACAGCAAAAGTCAATGATTGATTTGAATTATTTAGTCTGACATGTTTACTCTTCCAAGATATTATAAATCTTTTTCAAAATAAAATATTTTGTGTTTAAAGAGGAAAAAAGTTTTTGCTTTTTAACTAGACATTTAAGAACAACATATATTTAGGGCAGTAATCATAATACTGCGAAACCATGATATTTTTTCAACCTAAGTTATCATACCGTCAGAATTTTAAGAACACACACCCCAGGACAACAATCAAATATTAATGTTTCCATCCAGAACTCACTTGGATAGTTTAGGTTGCAGCATTCGTTTCATAGTGTCTCTAGCAACTGCATTGGTCAGCAAAGTCTTCTGCCAACCCTCCCCTGAAAGACATAACACAACGTTTACATTATTAAATAATCTTTAAGATTCAAGTAACAAAAAAAAAAAACAAGCATGCTGTCTTAATACGTACATCTTTTAATTTTCAGATTATCAACAGGTATGCTACCATGCTTCATCCTCTCTTTAGTTTCCTCATTAGCTGGAGGACCCTAGAAAAACAAATCAAAATGGGTAAAATGGAAATGCATTACTTTAAAGACTTTTGGGGTCAAACACATAAACATACCAAACCGGTGAGTTTGTCCTTGAAGTAAGGCTTTAAGAAGTATCCTAGAAATTGTTTCTGAGGAGGAACTCCAGGTACTGAGAAGATAGAGTTGCCTGGGCCAGAGAGCTGGACCTCGATCTCTTTCTGTAGAGATGCAGTGAGATTTCAGATATTATAGTGTAATAATACAGTTAAATGGTATGAGGTTGTTATTCACATACCTGCTGCTGTTGATTTTCAATGAGCAGTTGTTCTAGCTCAGCTAGTTTCTCTTTTAGCACCTCCTGATAGACCAAATTCATTTGCAGGCAAGTCTCCACATTTTGTGGAAGCTCTAAATCGTCAGCACTGTCTTCACTCTATTGAAGGTAGACCATTTTTTAAACATTAACATTTTAACTTAAACTGCAAAAAATTATGCATATAGAGTAGTATGTACAATCTATACTAACAAGCACAATCAAGTATTAAGGAATAATGCAGAAACTCACAGAGTCAGTGTCATGATCGCTGTCTGTTAACAAAAAAAGAACAATACAAGAAGAATGAACAAACATGTTATTTAAGTAAATGCAGTTGTAGCAGCAGACTCTTTAATACAACAGATTTTTCAGGTAATTTATCATATTATCACCTTGGAATTATAAGGTTCTATCGGACATTTTTGTCAAAATTGAGTTATTGACATATTCTTATTAAATGACAGCTTATTTACATTTTAACAGTTTGTGTTACCGTTTTATAAGTTGTTTATGTTTTAAGACTTTTTATTAAAAAAAAAAAAAAGATTTTCTCTACAAAGTCAAACTCTAGCTTCTATATAGCTCTATAAGGTTCTTTCTGTCAGCCAATCTGCATTCCGAATGCACGCACAAAGACCAATCAGAATAAGTTTTCTTTTGTCATTCAGCTAGACTGCTCCATTGACAGTGGAAAAGACCAATAAGAAACACAAAATCAGAGTCGACTAAATAATGCTGCACCACTTAAAATTTAAAAGGAAACTGAAAAAGAAAAGATGCATGTAAATGTGATGATTTAAAAGCATTTTTTGACATTGAGATGAAATGTTAAATATGTTGAAAAAAAGTTGAAAAAGAAACAGTTATTAAAAAAATGTAGATTATTAAATGTGAAATATTTTTATTTGTGTATATATATAGTTAGTCAAACATTTTTCAGTGTTTATTGAACTTATTTGCTCATTGTTTTAAAGTCTTTCAATAATTCAATAAATATAATCTTTTAAAAATAATTTAAAAAATTTTACTTAATAATTCATATAAAGTATATAATTAATTAGATATTACCATACTAACGACATAAAATTAACATCTGCATTGTAAAAAATATTGAGCACAGTCTTGAATGTTAAATAACAAAAATATTCTGTATTCTAAAATATTTTAGATATTTTAGAAAACAAAAAAAAAATTACTTAATCAACATCAACATATTGTTACACCAATTTTTGTTTAATTAAATTAATAAGCACACTGATTGTATTTCTTGAAAAACAAAGCTTTAATTAACAATGTGCCAGAGCACGTTTAGAGTCTCTCTCATGTTAATGTATGAAAGAGAACTGTTACACACATATCATTTGCTGTATGTAAAGCAAAAACTTTAAAGCTCAGTAACTTAAAATCCTTTAAAATGCAGACCTTATAATTCCAAAGTGATAATATGTTAAAGTGTCTCAAATTAAGAAATCCCTGTCATTTCTCACTTATGTAGTTCTGGACCAATAAGATTGGTTCCTCTTTTGAACATCAATTAAGTAATACGTTTTGTGAAATCTGATAAATTAGAAAACAAATGTTTTTTCTTAGAAGATTTTGATACTTCAAAATACTCATAAGGAGAAAAAATCCCATATGAATTGAGAGGATTAATCCAAATTTTCTGAAGAGCCACGATCACTTTATAAGATAAACAGATTTAATTTAAGCTATTATTAACAATATAACATTCAGACTTGCTAACTGAAGTCAAAAAATATTGATCTAGAATGACGTTAATTCTTCTGTTGCATGCTTTCTCAATCTTTCTCAATCAAAGTTTGGGTTTTTACCCAGGTAAGTTCAGATATAGTTTGACCAAACAATGAGATTTCAGATTTTAAAAGTTTGGTTGGTTTTGATTGGGTTCCACTGGGTTCCTCCGGTAGAGGTTTCATTCTGGGTTAGAGATGACTAACCCAAATAGGACCAAATAGAACTTTGGACTGTTTGTGAACCTGCATTGCTAAAATCAGTTAATTGATTTTCACTGAGATATTTTCATTTAGTTCATTCTTAAACTACTGTTAAATAAACAATGTTTGTTTCTGCCTTATAATTGTGAGAAAATATATTGTATTTTGGATAACGATATCTCTTAATCTTCAACAGAGAAGTGAAACTCTGCTAATCACAAACTCTGGGTTAAACTCGAGTTAACAGAAAAAGTTTATGTCAATTGTTGTGAAACCACATAACCTGATCCTAAACAGGTTGAATTTATTTGGTTGTCAACACTGAACAGGTGCTACATGGAGTTTGTTCAACTTGTTATGTGCAACAGGCCACAAGTGTGGCTGAGTTTCTGTTCACAATTGCACTTATTGTTTCTGTTCATACACGACCCACCTTATACACAAATGCTTTACTTTCCTGATTTTGACCTTTTGTGAAGCTAAGTAAGTAAAAGTTTATTTATATAGCACCTTTCACAGACATTAAGTCACAAAGTGCTTTAAAATATTAGAAAACAGGTAAAAGAACACGTATCAATGAAAGAAAACATTAAAACAAAGTACAAAAACACTAATACTTTCAATTAAAAGCTTGAACAAAAATATGTGTCTTTAAATGCTTTTCAAAAAGTTCAACTGATCCCAGAGTTCTCAGTGCTATAGGGTGAACGTTTCAGAGCCTTGGGGCCACGACATGGAAGGCACCTTTAGTCTTAAAACGAGTTCTTGGAATGGCTAAAAGGTCTTCTCCAGAAGACCTCAGATACCGGCTAAATGAGTGACTACGTAAAAGATTTTGAATATAAAGAGATGTTTGACCATGCAGAGCTCTACATGTAATTACCAGTATTTTACATTTACTTTAAAACTAATAGAAAGCCAGTGAAGTGCCTTAAGCACAGGAGTGATATGTGACCTATGCTTGGGCGGTAATATGGTACTATGGTATACCACAGGATCTAAAAATAGCTAAAGGCGTCAGCTTCAATACCGTTATAACCGTCATAAACAATGCACTTATTTAGGAGACAAGTATTAAATAATAAATATTAATTATTTAATGCCTACAAATACCTATGCATGATTGTCATCACGAGGAGAGAGAGAGAGAGAGAGAGAGAGGGAGAGAGAAAGAGAGAGGGAGAGAGAGAGAGAGAGAGAGGGAGAGAGAGAGAGAGAGAGGTGGCGAGTCGAAGTGACCTGCAGTTTGGCAGTATTTCTGGTTTCCACCGAACGAGAAGGGAGACGTGGTAAATACGAACTAGAGGTCTGCATTCCCGCATGTGACCAGAACAGATTTCTTGTGATGGAGAAATAAATTTCCAAAAAAAGTGTGAGAGCGGTCGGTAACTCTGGTGTAATTTAAAAGGGAGCGGGCCGCATGGATGCTGTTATGTCTGTGTGTGTGCGAATGAGAGAGAGAGGGCGTGCATGGTGCTGTCTCTCTCTTTCTCAGCGTGTATGTGTGTGTGTGCGTGTGTGTGTGCGTGTGTGTGTGTGTGTGCATGCAAGCGTGTGTGCGAATGAGAGAAAGCATTCTGCGCAGATCTCTAATATGAACAATACAAACAGGTGACCGCGAACCTAAGGTCGCATTTACGGTATACCAAGGTAAAATAGGGAGAAGGTTTGACAGTATCAAAATTTGGATACAGCCCAAGACTAGTGTGACCTCCTACTGGTGTTAGTTAAAAGCCTTGCTGTTGCATTCTCCACAATTTGCAATCGCTCCATACAAGATTTGTTCAGACAAGTGAACAGAATTGATAAGTATTGTGAAAAGTGCTATACAAGTAAGCTTGAGCTTTTTTATTCAATTGAATGAGAAAATGATCTGTTCATTATATTAGGCAATTGGGTATCTTCAAAAGATATTTATATTGAACTGCCTGAATGATTTTCTGATGTCTTCAACTTTTTTTTCATGTTTTAGTTGAATAGACTTTTAATGCAGTGAAAGAATTTTCATCTTGAGATGAACTGGACCTTTAAATGCAGTAACCCACTAAAGTGGCCACTGAGAATGTGTGTTATTTAACTTAATTATTGAAAAAGCCTGTTAATAAAAAATAATATAATAATCACAATACCTTGTAAGACATTTTCTAAAGCAGCATCAGCACCAAGTGCATTTTCCAACTCCTCAATCTCCCTCTGAATCCGCAAACGCTCTGTCTCCAAGTCATCACGCTCCTAGAAAAATTACAAGAAATGCAATACTGAAAAAAAGACTATGTACAATAAACTCTACATTATTTACTAATGTGAAGTTTTGCAGCATTTATTACTCATAGTTCAAAATTTACTAGAGTGAAATTAATCCAAAGTTGTGTTTGTTAACATTGGTTATTACACAGCTATCTGAAATAATCAATTTTGATTGGTCAGTCTCAACATTCTAAGGTTTGTTATCCTGCTAAATAACACAGGCTCATCCAGGAACTTCCAATCACATTGACCGTCAGTGAAAACATACAAATCTATATACTTCTATCCACATTTATATGTATTTGCTTGTCTGTCAGGCTGCAGTTTTTGACTGTTTGCCACCATCTTGTAACTGAATAATGCACAAGTTGGTGTATTCTCCATCAGCTGTTTTTGATTCTGTCAGTTTTGCATTTAAAGAATTTTTAAACGCATACAGCTCGGAGCAATGTTTGAAATGAACATCTGCTAATGTTAATAATTGCTTTTATAGTTGGCTTTAGTTAAATTGACATTGGCTTTAGAGACATTAAGTAATGGAGCCTTTCTGTACAGAGTTGAGAAACAAAAGGCCTATTAACAAAAGTTTCAATGTCGTGGGCCAGACTTACATGTGAAAATGTTATTGCTTGAAATAAATTGTCAAATTAGGTCTTCAAGCATTTGGTCTTATGATAAACAACCCTTGCAAATACAACAGTCTGAATATTCTTAAAAGACACTCTAGAATTAAAATATCAAATAATTATAAACTTTATTTTGAAATGCTTACAATATTATTATTGAGCATGTTCATGATCATGATATATTGAACATCAGCATGTGTCTAATTTCATACATGTTGTAGCCATTCACAGTATAATAATTAGGCATGTATTTGGATTCTTACCACCCTTTTAACTGTTGGTCCACTGTCATCAGATTCATAATCTGTCAAAGAAATGTTATATTCAGTTTATAGAGAGACAAACCAAATTTTCACGAGTGAAATTCCATGATTTTTATTTATTCTAGGTAAGAATTTCATCAAATCATCAAGAGTATTTCTAAGACTGATTTAAATATCCTAGCTGTTTACCTACTACCTTGGCAGAATATGTGGCCTTTATATGAATGTTAATCCATTAGGATCCCAAAATCTCTTAATTATAGTGACTCACCACTGCTGTTGTCCGATGACAGCTGGTCTGCGATGCTGCTGTCTGCACCTAAAGTGCTCTCCAGAGCCAAAATCTCCCTCTGTATTTTATCCCTCTGCGCTCGTAAGTCGTCAGATGCCATTTTTGGACAAGGTGAAACCTGAAAACCTTGCACCGGTTAATAATTTTGAAAATTGCACAATTTGCAGATAAAATTATCACTTATCTGCAGGGGTGTTAAGCATTTGAGAAACTTTGCTTCAATTTTATATTAAAATATGTTATATTTCATAGGTCAAAAAGTTTTATATTTAAAAAAAAAGTCTTTAGAATTACAGAAACTGCTCTCCAGCTAAATTTAGTTAAGCGTTCTGAATTCCTATTATTTGTAATCTAATCTGCCCCATATTACAGAATGTATTGCAATGCTTTTTATTTGTAACCATCACTTAGGATGGACAACAGCTGAATAAAACATGCAACATTTAAATCAAAATATTGAGTTAACATTTACTGGAGGGATTTTCAATTGGGGGAGTTGGAAAAAAGAGAAATATAATTAAAACAATCAAAATAAAGACAAACAATAAAACAAATTATAAAATATATATGATAAAAATAAATGCACAATAGTCTACGAAAGATTTTAGAATCTATTAATTATAATGAGAAATAGAAAAAATAATTAAATTATCTAAAATCTAATTAATTATAGACTAGATTGAAAAAGAAGAAAATTTATATATATATATATATATATATATATATATATATATATATATATATATATATATATATATATACATATATACACACACACACACACACACATTCCGTGCAAATGTCAACCATGCCATAAAGTTTTCACTAAAATAGAGAAATCTATTCTGCATTTTTTGTGTAAGTATTTTGCAGTACTTTAAAAATGTTTCTGTCAATGTTTTTAAGCTATTATATTTGATTAACCAAAGTCACACAATTGCCAATTTTACATCTGTCACATCCATAACAGAGCTTTTCCCACATAAATGCAAAAATGTCAAATAAAATAAAATCAACGATTTTTGTTTTACAGTGAGCCAACTCTTATCCGTTTGATGAGCATTATTTCTTTTGGGTTGTGCACTTTAATTCACATAATTTCTAAAAAGTATTCTGTATACTGTAAACTTGCATGCTTTTTTGTCACATACATGATAACGCATCTTTATTTTCCTCATTTATTAAATATAAAAATGTTTACAGATTGATATTTTTCTGATCCTATAACTTTCTGGTTAACGTTAGCTGTTTTAGAAAATATGAACAGATTTTTTTAATTAATTATATATTTTCAATTTACACACACACACATATATATATATATATATATATACATACATACATACATATATATATATATATATATATATATATATATATATATATATATATATATATATATATAAATTAGGAGATATTTTAATAGAGATACTTTAAACCCATTTATAATAATTTGTCAGGGTATATGTTGGGTCCTATTTACAAGAGAAACAGTTGACGTTACCTTTTACATTATTAGGTCACATTTGCGGATCCGTGAACGATTGAAACCCCGTCCCATGCCTGAAGTATTTGCTTTAAGCCTAAAGAAAAACTAAGACATTTAAAAAACAGTTCTTGAGTGTCTGGCGCCATAAACTAAACATACACATGAAAATGTTCCATTGGCTGTCTTCGCAGTGTACTTACATTACCCTTTTGTTAAAACATCATTCTGCAGCTCTTCTATAAGAGAAACCTGCTGAATCCTGCAGCATCACTTCACACGTTTCTCACCTAAATCTTCGTCTAACTTACATACACATAAACGCAGAGCGCACATGGGGGTTGTAAACTACAATTGAACTTATTCAAATTAAATCGAAGTGCTACTTTTAAAGGTTGATTACAAATAGGAATGATATTTCTACAAATCAATAACTCTATACCTTGATAAAACTATTGTACGTTACTTGTACGTCATGTGTGTACAACCATGAGTCGCGCGATAAGTGCGTCATGTTCACTGACAAACACTTCATAATAAAAGTCTCATCTATTGTCAAAAAGTCACGTTTTTGACACAATGTTGTTTAATTTCACTACAACTTTTGTATCACAAACAATTTTCAGTATTATTTTTTAAAATAAGAATCGGTGAACGGTGCGACACTCAATTTCAGACTGTTTCACAGCAAGACTTTTAAAATTAATATATAACAGTGGAAAGCGTGTTGCCTATTTTTGGTGTATATTTAATCATTCACTTGCGGTATATTATGAGACCCTCCTCATAATTTACATTTAAAAAGTGATTTGTATATTATTAATAAGTTTTTTTTACTTGCATTTAATTAATTACTTTGGTACATTTTTATTTATACAGAGACTCATCTTTCCAACTCAAATTTGGCATCCATTTAATCTATTATGGTTAGTTAAAATAATAAAAGATATTAAGAAGTTTGGTATATATTGGATTTACAAATACAGGGTTCATACACATTTTTACTACTAAAATTCCATGACTTTTCCAGAACTTTTAAGCACATTTTCATGACTTAATGTTTCATGTAATGTCTAAATATACATGGTAAATAATGAGAAAAATAATGACGTTTAAAAATAAAAAATAAAAATCGTTTTTATATCCATGTTAAATTGATTTTGATAGTGCTTAAACAGCACTAACAATGTGAGAGCAAGTTTTTGGCCAAGGACAGAAGATAGGCAACTAACCTATATTCAGGTTAGGGCTGCACAATATATCGTTAAGCATCGATATCGCAATGTGTGCATCCCCAATAGTCACATCGCAGAATATGCAATGTTTGGATTGTAGTTTAATCATAATAGAGTAAAAGTTTATCACCTGCTGATTTTTTAGAGAAATAGCTCAGCCAAAAGTTACTTGACATTTTCATTACACCCTTCACTTAAATGAACACAAAAACAATATAATTAAATAATATAATTAAACAATATTAAACAATATAATTAAATTAAACACCCGGCCACAAGCATTTTTTTGTTACTTTAATAAAGATTAAATATTATACAATGAAGTGTTGATAATTCAATATCTGTACCTGAATAGTGAATACCTGAAAACTATAATTCACCTTTATCTTTTCTTTAGCTTATTTATCTATGCTTGTAATTTATTTGTTATATATTATTCAAGAATTTTTCTCTACAAAATCCCCCCAATCAATCCAAATAAACCTCTTGAATCATCTGGTGAAATTGTTTTAACATCGCAATATACATCATAGAAATACAAAATATTGTTATGTCAGATTTTTCCAATATCGTGCAGCCCTAATTTAAGTATTAAGATATTTGTTAAACTAATTTCTATGATTTTTCCAAAACTTTGTGGGTTTCTTCTGTTTTTCCAAAACTTTTCCAGGACTGGAAAATGCCATGTCAAAATTCCAAGACTTTTCCAGGTTTTCCATGACCGAATGAACCCTGCAAGTAATAACAGGACCACATGATTAAAACAAACATCTTTATTGGGTCAATAAAGAGAAGGGCATCATCAATATAAGGCACTTTATCAAGTGTTGATTAGTTAAATTTGTTTAAAATAAACAAAGATTTTACTTAACAACGCAGAAATAAAATATAAAAAATGTGTTACATACATCAAACTCAACAAAATCTTCCAAATAATGTGTAAAGAAAGATCTAAAGAAAGGATTAACTTCACTCACTGTTTAGACAAAAGTGCAAAAAGTTTTTGAAAAATCATTTATCATAAATCTTTTGATTTTCATGACAGAATTCAAGGCACTATTTGACATACTGAAGTATCTGTGTGATTAAGCTCATAATATAGAGCTTAATTTGGTCATAAAATCATAATATCTAAACATGATATCAATGAAGATGAATGAAACAAATAGTGGAATACCACAGTACAGTGATTCTATAGTGTAAAAAAACATGATGTTTGCATGTTGGGGAAACTTTTCACATCAGTCATGAATCTCAGTGATCTTGTCAATGGATGACAATAACTGAGACACTAAACAGAAAGTCTCTCTTCCAGTCAGCAACTGCCTGTAAACACACACAACACATTCAGTAAAATAAGGTATCAGTTTGAATTAATCACCTTCGGTAACTCTGAAATGACTGTAATGTCATAGTTAACCATACTTGATGGAGATCTCTGCATCTTGAGCTGCTTTGTTGAGGTATTCAGAGGCCACTTGCGCATTGTGTCTCATTGTGGCTAAGGCTGCCGTTTCTCCAAGTCTCAGCCTTTCGTTTTCACTTTTATAGTCTTCAAGCTGGCCCTGAGAGGAAACAACGTTTAAAGCAATGCAGTAAGTTATTATTTCGATCACAAATGCAAACATCAACAGCAGTGGCATCAAGGTTTGCCATTCATTTATAGTTGCATGAAAGTGATTGTATTTTGAAATACAGAAGTACTTATTTTATGTTGAATACTTCAGATAACTGATAAATATTGAAGCTAGAACAACATTAAAGTGCAGCAAACACTAGTCATGTATAACACAAAACATGAAAATAACATGATAAAAAATACTACTTTTTATAGGATTTACAGTTCTAAAATATAAACTCACAGACGACACCAGAAACCTTGTTTTAAAGTTACAAAACACTTACATAACAAAAGAAAGTGAATAGCAGTGTACATTCACCGGCCACTTTATTAGGTACACCTGTCTGACTGCTCTTTATGTGAATTTCTAATCAGCAAATCACATGGCAGCAACTCAACGCATTAAAGCATTTGGACTTGGTCAAGACGATCTGCTGCAGTTCAAACCGAGCATCAGAATGGGGAAGAAAGGTGATATACGTGACTTAGAAAGTGGCGTTGTTGTTGCCAGACTGGTCTGTGTATATTAGAAACTGCTGATCTACTAGAATTTTCACACACATACATCTCTAGGGTTTACAAGGAATGGGCTGAAAAAGAGAAAATATCCAGTGAGCGGCAATTTTGTGGGTGCAAATGCCTTGTTGATGCCAGAGGTCAGTGGAGAATGGGCAGACTGGTTCCAGCTGATAGAAAGGCAACAGTAACTCAAATAAGCACACGTCACAACCGAGGTATGCAGAAGAGCATCTCTGCACAACAAGTCCAAACCTTGAGGCGGATGGGCTACAGCAGCAGAAGTCCACACCGGGAGCCACTCCTGTCAGCTATGAACAGGAAACTGAGGCTACAATTTACACAGGCTCTCCAAAATTGGACAATAGAAAATTGGAAAAACATTGCCTGGTCTGATGAGTCTCCATTTCTGCTGTGACATTTGGATGGTAGGGTCAGAATTTGGCATCAACGACATGAAAGCATGGATGGATCCTGCCTTCTATCAAAGGTTCAGGCTGCTTGTGGTGGTGTAATGGTGTGGGGGATATTTTCTTAGCACACATTGGGCTTATTAGTACCAATTGAGCATCGTGTCAACACCACAGCCTACCTGAGTATTACTGCTGACTATGTCTATCCCTTTATGACCACAATGTACCTATCTTCTGATGGGTACTTCCAGCTGGATAATGCACCATGTCATAAAGCGCGACTCATCTCAGACTGGTTTCTTAAACATGACAATGAGTTCACTGTACTCAAATGGCCTCCACAGTCACCAGATTTAAATCCAATAGAGCACTTTTGGGATGTGGTGGAACGGGAGATTCTCATCATGGATGTGCAGCTGACAAATCTGCAGCAACTGTGTGATGCTATCATGTCAATATGGACCAAAATTTCTGAGCATTATTTCCAGTACCTTGTTTAATCTATGCCACGAAGGATTAAGGCAGTTTTGAGAGCAAAAAGGGGTCCAACGCGCTACTAGTAGAGTGTACCTAATAAAGTGGCCAGGGAGAGTTTATTCATTTCTACTTGTGCATATGAAAAGAAAACAAACCTGGAGTTTTAGCATCTCTTGTTTCAATTTTGAAATATTATTTTCAGCCTTTACTGCCCGCTTCTGTATTGAATAAAGCACAATTATTCCCTTAAATGCACTTAAAACATTTAACACAAACAAAACAAGATAACACTTTACAATACGGTTGTAATTAGTTAATAACTGTTAATGCACTTACTAATGTGAAGAAACAATAAACAATACATTTATTACAGAAATTGTTCATGTCAGTTAACGTTAGTTACTGAAAATACAGTTGTTTATAGTTCGTTAACCCAGTGTTAACTAATGTTATCAAACATGAATTTGGATGTTAATAATGCATTAGTAAATGTTAAACTGTGATTAATTAATGATGTACAGTACAAACATTGCTCATACTTAGTACATGTAATGAACCCTAATTGCAAAGTGTGACCCAAATTGAAATGAATAAAACATTATTCTGATCGAATAAACATTACTTAAAAAACTAGCACAATACCGTCATTAGCTGAAGATTTTGTTCTACCGACTGCACCATTGCTTCCAAATCATTTGCCTCTTTCTCTTCCTGTAACTTCTTATTGTGCATCTCATCTGTGAGTTGTTTAATCCTATTCAAATTGGATTGTGCATTAGAAATCATAAAGAAAAAAAGGCAAATAGCAAACTTAAATTATACAGATACTTTTAAATTCATTAATTAGCTCAAAAGAATTAATGACATAAATTTACATCCAGCAGTTTAACAATATAGCTTACCTTCTAGAGTCAGTTTCCGACATTCTAACTAGCTCTTTGACTTGCTTTCTGAGAAGGGAATTTTCTTCTCTGAGCTGAAGCACAATACAAACAAAATAAAATGACTAAAAGACTTTTATTTACAAATGCAGAACAGATTATAATATAACAAGTAAACAAATATATATGTACTGTATATGGGTCAAATATAAAAAGAGGTTTTAGTGCAATAAAAACAACAACTATAAGACAGCTTTATATTTATTTTCTCAATGGACCCTTTTCACAAGACTGTTATGATGCGTTTAACGGTCATCAGTATCTTAAATCCTTAAAAGATTTCAATATTTTTTTTAAAAATAAAATAAATGTATCAACATTTATATGCATTTATGTGTGTATTATATCAGGTGAGCTGCGAGGAGCAAGGTGTTTGTAATGCCGAAAACTCGATACATCTCTAACATGATGAAGAACCTTTATTTGTCACAACATTGTTACATGCAGCGAAATTGGACCCCTCAGACCATACACAAACATCACACATTTCAGGAGAAGACAAGTCAGTCAAGACTAGAAGATGACACGGGAGTGGATTTTACTCCTGTCCCGACCCACTCCCGCAGAAATAAATCTTGTCCCGTACCACTCGCAGACCAAAGTTTAAAAAATAATCCTGTCCCATCCCGCTTCTGGTAAAATGACTCCCACTCCAATTCCGCTCCTGTTTAAAATGCCTCCCGCTCTTGTACCGCTCCCATATATATATATTTTTTCTACTTTTACTCTTTACGTAGTACATAGAATTTGAATTTATCTGCTGTTTTAGACCAGCTGCTGAGTCCCTGTTCTAGTTTTTCTTGAGATCAGTTGTAGTAAATAAAAGAAAAACAGTACATCGTTCACACCAAGCCGCATTTTACCCATTTATTAAAGTTTTTTTAATTAACATGTTAACAATATTGATCCAATTCAAGCAATTTCTACGCAAGTGTTTGCTTCTTTCAGCACTTATGGCTCCTGGGTCGTGTAGTTCGTTTTAATTGTGTTACTTTGAAAGAAAACTACAAAAATGGCGGTGTATTTTTTGTCATCATTCTATTGGTTGATTTCTGTCTGCTCCCATTAACTATTTTATCCTGTACCGTCCTAATATCATGATTAAAAGCAATGATGACTCCCATCCCGCAGGAATTCTGTGAACCGTGGGATTCCCGAAAAAATTTCATCCCCTAGTTGAGACGTAGCATAGAAAAATAGGAAATAAGATACATTGGAAAAAAGGAGGTAAGCCCCTACCAGACTGTCCTTAAAGTAGAGCAATCAACAAACTTTTAGATTCCCATTGTTGCACATTTCTTCTGTGTGGTTGGCTCTTAGATCAATAAAGAAAGCTTAGAGCTTATAATTGTTTTTTTTTGTTTTTTTAAGATTTATTTTTGGCCTTTTTGCCTTTATTATTAGAAAGGACAGTATTGAGACAGGAAGCAAAGTGGGAGAGAGAGAGAGGGGGTAGGGTAGGGAAATGACGTCGAGCCGGGATACGAACTCGCGACTCCCTGACCTGCTTTTGCACCATATGTCGGCAAGATTATCTATGTTAATGACAAATTTTATCACGATTCGATACAATATCATTTATGTTATTTGAAAAATTAAAGCACATGATGTTTAAGGAACAAGGAATTTTTTAAAGCACTTCCTAAAATATTTTTTCTTCTGGAGAAAGTCATATTTGTTTTATTTTGTCTGGAATAAAAGCAATTTTTATTTAAAAAAACATTTTAAGGTTTTTATTATTATTATTATTAGCCCCTTTAAACAATTTGTTTTGAATTGTCTACAGAACAAACCAGTAATACAATAACTTGCATGATTACCCTAACTTGTCTAATTAAGCTTATTAACCTAGTTAAGCCTTTAAATGTGACTTTAAACTGAAAACTAGTATCTTAAAAACTATCTATTTAAATATTATGTACTGTTGTCATGGCAAAGATAAGAGCTATTTGAAATTACTTATTGAAACTATTATGTTTAGAAATGTGTTGAATATTTTTTTACTCATTTTTTTACTGATTCATTAGAGACATTTCATCATTACTGGAAAAAAACATACCTGCTGGAGATTCTTTGTGCCATTTTCAGCATTGCCTCTCTTATGATGGAAGGAAATATCAATCACTGAAGTCTCTTCATCCCCCTCATAGCTTCCAGTGCTGATTCTGGATAAGTGCTTTTTTGGCAGGAAGTCAGACTGACCCAGTTCCCATTCAGCCGCTTCTCTCTCATCACTGCACAGAGATGACTGCTCAGAGTAAGCACTGATGTCTGATGCCCCACATAGTTCAAAGTCAGGAGAACCTTCAATGGCTGACCGTTGGTGGCTTTCAATCCATGTCTCGTCGGGTTCACTTTCAGGAGGCTGACAGAGTGCAGAGGGATCAGTGAAAAAAGGACCCTTGGTAGCAAAGTCTATAGAGGTGTTATAGTCCTGCTCGACTAGGCATGCACCATTGTACACCTATGGGGAAATCGAACATTTATAAAACATTATTTTCTTTTTGGGGAAAAAAAGTATTGTTAATGAAATTCTGTGTAATTATTTCAACTCAAGACACAAAAGGATAAGCATATATAGTGTATAGTGTGAATTTATATATACACACATTTACAATCAAGATTGAAATTATTCATAGCCTTGGCAAATTCTGACTTTAAGTATTTGTTCAATTTTAAATAAAATATTATTTCCATAATGATGTCTCTAGTACATCATATTATGTTTTGGGAGAAGCCTATGTTTCCATCCAAAGATGTAAATTAAATTTATGCACAAAACTGAAATATCGCATATAAGATGTGCAAATAAAGCAGCGTTTCCATCCAATGAGAGGCAAACGTCAAAAGTAAAAATGGAATTTGCTGTGGTCGGAAAAGCTGAGTGTGTCTTATTTAATATAATAGTGCAGGCCCGTGCAGAGACTTCCTAAGGGCATGTGCAGGCAGGATGAAACAATTTGAATAGCGGGGTGGGTTGTCGCGAACTAAAGAGCGGGGGGTAGGGGTGGGATGTTAGAGCGAAGGCACTTCAGATAATGTTGAAATGGCACTTTCTATACAAGACTGAAAAGGGCATGTGCACTGCTTAGGTTGAGCCATATGTGTGCACGTGCCTGTATTACTGCACCTCAGAGAACAGTATGCCAATTTGCAATGAATGTGTGGTGGCATTGAAGTCATATTTCATGCGCATCTTTCCTTATCAACAAAAAGTTTATCCTTCTCAGTTATGCACAAACGTTTTTATGGGCATTTTTTTAATTTATGCACATCATTTTCATTAACCATTTTTATGCACATATCAAACATGTACATAAGTTGATAGAAACATAGGTAATTTCCAGTCAAAAACAAACAAAAAAGCTCGCTGGTTTAAAAAAGTCAGAATTTGCCAGGGTATTAAAAATTTCAGGCTTGACTGTGTATACAGTACAATATAGTTATTTTTCTGTACATTAATCCTTATTAATTCATGTACATTACATATCACAGTGCAGCCCCAAAATAATAATTAATTGTAATTTTAAATCCTGGTACTTAAAACTAATTTTCCCACTACCCCCCTGTTTTTTGTCAGTTTGTAAAAATGAATTTAATGCAGACACCAAAATTAAACATCTTGGGCCCTATCATACATCCGGGACAATAAGGCAAAAGACATGTTTGGTGTGGTGTGTTGCTATTTTTTTGTCACACATTGTTTAAATAGCAAATCCATTTGCGCCACTTTGTGGACTCATGGGTGTGCGGGTCTATGAATGAGGTGTGTTAAGGTGCATTGTTGGCAGATGCTATTTTGAGGAACTGAAGTAGAGTGCACCATTGACCAGCTTAAAGCTGCTTTAAAGTCTAGCGCGTTAGTTATGCGCCTATGCAGGTCCAAACGCTTACACATTGCTTAATACACACACAGAATGTACAGCAATACACAAATATGTTTATATTTGAAAAAAAATAAAGGATTAAAATGTAAAAAAAAAAAATATTTTCTACATAAATACAAAAACCACTACCTCCATGCCTCATATGTGTGTTTTTTACAGTTTTTCATGACAAGTTGCAATAGCAAAACATTGTTATTACAAGCAGTTTTATTTATTATATATTTATATTTGTTTGAATAAAAACAAGTTTAGATTTGTCCACCTGTCGAATTTTGGAGATGTTTTCATCACCATATGGTGCATAAGAATAGGACGCGTGTTTGGATTTCACTTTTTTTTGTGACCACACTTTACCACCACATTATTATTGTTAATTTATTTGTTTGCTGGAAATTATAACTGAATTTAGAAATAGTTTTTAAACAAATCTTTGTGCTTAACAAAAGGAATTAAATATGTAGGCAAATGAATGTCTTCAGTGGAGTGCGTACAACACTGTTTCCTTACTCCACAAATTTAAAGGAGTAAAAAGTTCAAGTAAAAAAGCCTAACAGAGGAGGTTTGCTCTTCATCCTTGCACTGCAGATGGTTTGTTTAACTGTTTTTTCGCTAGTTAAGTGTTCAGTTTTTCCACTTAAAAGTCCGCCATGTAAATAGCAAATGCACCATGGGGCAACGCAACTGACTCTTAAAGGGAATGTGAGATGAGACTCTGGTGTAATGCACGTTATGCTCAAAACACACCCATAACTCATTATGAGAATAAGCACAACCCTTTAAGACCATGCGCCGGGGCACAGATAAAAAAAATTTCGTCCTTAAAAAGTGCATTCAGACATGCCCTTAATCCTTTGGTGCCATGCGCTTTAGACTGTGCACCTACATCATTAAAATAAAGCCCCTTGTCTTTGATCCATTTACATAAATATACAAAATTTAAATATGACTTTAATGTTTATAAAGGTATAGAGCACACAATGATGTCAAATGTGTCAGTATTTAGTAAAACTTATGTTATCCCAAACTTGTACAACTTTCTGCATCCAGTACAACAGAAGAAATTTAGAAAATTGTATATACAAAGAAAAAATAAATGAGTGTAGGTCTGAAATATTATAAGAGTGAGAAAATAATACTTAACATGTAATTATTATTTTTTTGTGAAGGTTAAGTTTGCAGGAAGTATATTTAAAATTAAAAGCATACAAATGGCATGTCTGGTGGTCTTTCTGATGTACTCAGAAAACCACATTCTCTTTATACAGCAACATTATGCACATTTAAACTACATTAATTGAGGCACAGAGGTGAATATTTATACTTAGTAAAACAACTATTGACGTATATACGTTTTGTCAGGACTACTGAAGTGAAAATGAAACATATCGATTACCTAACCATCTAAATTACACATATTTCTTACACATTTAGATATGGGCAAATTACAATTTCCCAACTAACGTTACTGTGAGGTGAAATTATTCCTCACCTCTGTGGCTTCTGTGGAACATGACGGCTGGTTTTTGTTTCGGATAAACTCCTTGAACGAAAATGGATTCAGCTCATCTTGCTTTGGCTCATCTGAAAGTAAATTTGTACATCAAAAACAAGTATCATATGCAGAAATAGTCTAAATGAATTCTATATTATTGTGCCTATAGAAAACAGAGAGACGCCTAGTGTTTGATCATGTTGCATAATAGAAAGGGTAAAATAAAAGCAGTGTTACAAGTACCATCTTCAATGATGAGCTTTTTCGACTTGTGTCTGGACATGTTAGCTTAGACAACTTGACCAGAAACGTAAACTTGCTAATCCCAAAGACTTTGAGTCCTAACGCAAATAAAAGATAAACATTACACGGTGTGTAAAAGATGCAAGCGACGAAGAACTACGAAAAATAAATGTATTCCAAAAAAACGCTTTTGTTATTCGCAATAAATGCCGAATAATTTTGCCATAAAAAACAAATCATTATTGTATTTTAGAAACAGCAACATCGCTTACGGCTGTCATCATGTCACTTCTTCGGCTCGGCAAAGAAGAACAGTTACAGCAAACATCGTCAGCATCGCCATCTATTGATGTGGAAGAAAGATTTTTGCAGGTCTGATGTAGTTTGTAGTCTGTCTAATGATGAAAAAAATGCTGACCTCACGTTTAATATAGTCATATTTTCTATAATTCTGGTGTTTTTTTTCTTGTGCTTTTAAAGGTATTAATGATAGCTAATAAGAAAAAAACATACTTTAAAATGTTATGAAGCAAGAGGGTCGCTGGTTCGAGTCCCAGCTGCAACAGTTGGCATTTCTGTGTGGAGTTTCATGTTCTCTCCGTGTTGGTGTAGGTTTCCCCCACAGTCCAAATATGTGCGCTGCAGGTTAATAGAATAAACTAAATTGTCTGTACTGTATGAGTGTGAATGTGACAGTGTGCCCAGTATTGGGTTTGCAACTGGAAGGGCATCCGCTGCGTAAAACATATGCTGGATAAGTTGGTGGTTCATTCCGCTGTGGTGACCGCGGATGAAAAAAGGGACTAGGCCGAAAATAAAATGAATAAATGAATGCTACTAGTAATACATAGCTATGACTATCTAAAAACACATAATAAAACCCATATAGCAAAATTTCTCTGGCCCACACAATCAGGTTTTGCTTGGCCCACATGCCGCAGTGAATTACGGTACATGACTGGACCAAATCTGGCTTCCAGACAAGGGCCAAACACAGACCATATCTGGGCCAAGTCTCAGCCAAGTTAATAACTCATAACTGGGCCAGAACTGGGCCAGTAAGGTTGGTGTGTCACGATTGCAATAAAATTAATAAAACTATGAAGCGTTGTGCTTTAGGCACACTATGGGCCTTGTTTTTTCTCTGTGACCTGAATGGTAGAATTGATTTATTTAATCAAAAATTATTTTTATGTATTTTAAATGTGGGTCAAGACTGGCCAAACTCATGTGGCCCACAATCAATCTTTAAAATCTGGGCCAAATACTACGTTTTACTGTCGTAAATTTGACGACTAATCAATTACAAATTATCAGACCAGAGGTTTTGAATATCAGAAAATAGACTTTATTCTCCATAATAAAGCCGAGAAAGAGCAGAGCAGACCCCAGAGCAGTCTGAAGTCTCTCCTGGACACCTTCTGAAGTCTCTCCTGCACCTTCTAAAGTATCTGTGTTTGTTACAATTTTTATACAGGATTATTTGACACACCCCTAAGTCTCTTTTTAACTCTTGACCATTTTTGAATAGGTTTTTAGTCTAAGGGGTCCTGCTATTCTTGGCTCTCAGCCCACTAGCTCATGTCAGCAGAGATGTTACAGGTCTATGTCAGCAAAGTATAGATGCAACTTATGCAAAGGAACTAAGTGTTTACATACATTGTTATGATAGGATAATAACTTGATAATATGTTACTCATTCTAACTTCTGACACATATAGCTTCATAGAAGTATTTAACCTATATAATCAGCGCTTTACATATTCAGTTATTCTACACAATCAGTCACTCAGCCTTCTCCTAGTGTTGCTTCTGTGCAGGCATACATATCACTGTATTTTTAACACAGGCTGGCATGTTTGCTGCAAACACTACATACATTTCGTGAAGAGAAAATTAACTGCTTTACACTTAGAAAATACTTCACACTGAGAGAATAGAAATCTTCTTCAATCCCTCCTCTTAAGACTTTAGTCTTAATATTATTGTCTTTTAACCCAAAGTGCAATTTCATAATCCAGTTCTCTTAATTACCTCTATCTAGTGACTGATATTAGCCACATAGCAGTTATCAATTGACCAGATTATGCCACCGTACTTTGACAGAAGTCCAGCCAAACATCTTCCCTGTTGATTTGAAGGAAGTAAAAGACTGTACTCTGTTTTTCTCTTAACACATCAAAGACAATAAAGTTTTAAGCATAAGTATTCAGTTGGTTCAGTGCTAGCTGCTAGTTTTCACACTCATGTAGAATATACTTAAGTGATATTATATATAGGTACCATGAAAGCAATATGCAAACAAAATCAATATGCAAACGTAAAAAGCATCAAATGTTGATCTTGATCTTTGCTCATCCTTGTTTCTCTTCTTCTAAGCTATCAGCATCTTCACTTGACTTTAATAGATGTTAATGGAGATGTGTGGTTGAGTCTGAGTTTTGAAATCTGCAGTTGTGCATTCATCATCCCTTGACTTGTGGCACTTCTGTATGTGGTAATCAGGCATATTATCAGAATCACTCTTTACTTTGTTCTGATAAACTCTTGCTTCCACACGTTGCACTTAGTAATTAAGAGCTTTGGAATATTCAGGCTCCTCTGTTTTCGGTCAGCTTTTCCTTGCTGGAGTTGTTTCCTTTCGCTCCTTTGAGGCATTGGTACCTCATCAATGGCATCCCCTTTGGCAGCTGTTGGATTTGCCCTCATCCAGATATGGCCCTTTTCTCCTGAGCTCTCCAGAGTATCCACAGATAGACTCAATCACCTAGACCAATTGGACCTTGTATCACTGCTCTCTCACATGGCTCCTTTCTGGTTTCCTGCACAGATATCGCTTTGCACATGGCAATTATTTGTTTCTTCATTAAAGTCCCTACTGAATTAGACATCTTTGCAAACCATTCCAAGAGTTATGTGCACGCCAGGTTTTATGCAAAGTTTCATGTGGTGTCTTGCAAGGGTCATGCGGTTTCTTGCAAGGTTTCTTTCAAGGGTCGACCCAATAGCAGTTCATTCGATGCGGTGTTAGATGCCTGTTTCTGTCAGTTTCCATGCCATGACTCACCAATGCACTTGTTAGCAAATTAATCCCATTAAGTTTATTATTTTCACATATTTCATTGAGCGTTGGTCTTGATGGATCATCTTCATCTCTTTCAGCCATTTCTGGTAATTGAGCATAATACAATTATTCTCTCTTTTGCTTTATTCATAATTTTTCCATACTTCTTTAGATGTTTTTATTTATTGATCATTCATTAACTTCATGAATACTTTATGAATGCAAACCCATTATGAACTTATTTCTGAAGGCATTTCAAAATTTAGGAAATACTTGTCTTGTCACAGATGTAATAACTATCCCTGCTTCATAATCTGCTCCTGATACCATCTCCAATCATCTACTCATCATAGTTTCTCAACTGTGCTTGTTTACAGAATAATTCTCTATCCAGTCAACACCAAAAACAGTCATCATATCTCACTGTTTGGAGCAATGGTCTCCAGTCAAGTATTTTAAATGAACTAGATCTTTGTGAAGCTGTAGATAATTCAATCATCCACATATCGTGACAGTGTCCATCCTAAGATATTTTCCCTAATTTTAACCCTTTATGCATTCTGGTGTATACAGTGTTTGCTATTCATCAAGCTACACAAGTACAAACAAGTTTCTACCCTCCTCTGGTAGTTACCTAAAATAAACTCAATAGAAACTAAGCACTTAATATATTTACCATCCAAAAGAACATATCTCCACATACAATATGAACTTCAGCTGGAAAATCTTCTCCTATTGATTGCTCTTAAATCATATTATCAACATTAAGCCTCTTTTATCTGTCTTGATTAACCATTTATTTTAATTATCAAATTAACTTCAATTAAATATTATTAGTTACTTATAATTTATTACTACTTTAAATTTAAATTTAAATAGAAATGTCTAGGACAGATTGCATATTACATTATAGATGTTTCTATTAGTGCTCTTATATTTTTACACTTTTCAATAGAGTTTTGTACCTATTTCATCATTTAGTGGTTTTATTTCTGGGCAGATCTACATCTGATTTAATTTTAACCCTCACTGTGCTGCATGGCTGATTTTATCTGCATCTCAGTCCTGTAATGACAATCATTTAGTTGGAATTTGACACTTCTTTCTTTTACTAATCAATTTTCTGATCTATATATTAATTCCTTTTTTGTCTTTGAGTTATTTTCTTTTGGCTCATAATTATTTCCTAAGGCACTCCCATTAAACTAGTTGTTTATACAATTTTGATGCACTTTTTTATCAGCTGACTAAAACTTACTGTATGTTTTGTAAATTTCTCTTTGCTCTGTTTTAACTATTATTCCTTATTAATTCCTTATATTGTTTTCTTAAACACTTTTCTCTTTCAATTTTTCTTATAGTAATTTAGAACTGTTACTTTTTGACCTTATCATGTCCTATGAATTAATTTCAATTGTTGTTTCAATCTTCTCTTTAACTGTAAATCATTTTTCTAAATTTGAATCTCTTTCCAGTTTTCAATATCCAATCTTGATTTAGGCCATTCACAATAAGATTATGTTAAGATATTTCCTTTACTTAATTTTAATTTAAATACTTAATTCCATTCTTATTTATTCTCCAAATTATTTATTGCCTTATCAAAAGCTTTTTCTTTTTCTTTAGTTACCACCCTGCATTGTAATTTATCCTTCTATGTTTAAGGAACTTTTATTAAGCCTACTGAAACTTAAACTCAAATTATTTACCATTCATCATAATATATAATTTCATCATTTAAAGTTTTACCTTGAAATTACCATATAACACTTTTTTTTTTACTTAAAAATTTGCATGATAATAATTTCTCAAATTGACAGGAGTCTGATTTGATACAAGAATGGGTAGTTACACTTTTGTTCTTAATTTTTCTTCTGTAATGCTTGAACTTAATTTGGACTTTAGGAGCTACTTTGAGATGGACTGTCAGACTATCCCCCCTCGCAACCTGAGACAACTAGCTCCAGATTGGCGCAACAGTCTTTTCTATGTTGTCCTGAAATTGCTTCATATCAGGGCACAGTGTTTCCCCCTCTCTCTTTGGGCTGGCTTCTTTCTTTGACTCAGCTGATGTAAAGTTCTGGTAGAGCGTTTTTTCTTTTTGATCAGTTCATCAGTCTCTTGTTAGTGTCTCTTTTGAATGTCTCTGAACACATGTAGCTTTTTCAGTCCTCAGTAAATCCTGAGTATGCAGTGCCTGCATCACTGCTGTAGCATGTCACAAGTGTCAACAGCCATTTTGCTCATTGGTGTTTTTCAAACA